CTTTCTACTTCGGGTGTCCCTGAGTTGTCTCTCCTCACCTGTAACCCTGGGCCTGAATGCTCTTCTAGAAATTCAACACAAGACTCAAAAGCTATTGTTGGGTATTAAATTAGGTGACTGACAGCCACTCAAAATGGGCCTGAAGCTTCACATCTTGTCTACAGAAAGATGGAAGGTGATTGGTGATGGCGATGAAGCCCAAGTCCTGATCATTTCCAGTAGGTGGCTTTGCCCCTGAACTTGTTTCTCTGCCCTCTCACTTGCTGCAGGAGAATCAATATGCCCGATGGATGGCTGCCTGCATCTTGGCATCAAAGGGCAAAACCATGGCAGACAGCTCCTACCAGCCAGAGGTCCTCAACATCCTTTCATTCCTGAGAATGAAAAACCGGAGCTCAGCGTCCTCAACAGCTTCCAGTTTTGAGAGCATGGACATAAACCCAGAATGTTTTGTGTCTCCTCGGTGTGCAAAGAAACATAAATCTAAGCAGGTGCCACTTAGCTGGTTGGGGTGATTGTTTACAGTGAATGGTTAAGATGCTGAAATAAAATGAAGAATTCCATCTGATTAAGGGCATCATCTAGAAAAACCAGTTGATGAGTAAATTTTAATATGGACTGGATGTTAGATGACAGTGAGAAATTGTTAATTTTGCCAGAGGTAACTGGACTACTAACTGAACATGGTGACATTCTGATATTCCCAGATTGAATTTAATTAAGAATAAAGTTATTTAGTACCACAAATTAAAGATCAAATTTAGGCTTTCATAAGAGTGAGTTAGGAGACACTGGGTAGTACAAATGTTTAAGCATCTGGCTCCTAAGCAAAAAGTTGGCAGTTTAAACCCACCGGTGGTGTCGTGCCTAAGGCATCTGACTGCTAACCAGAAGGCTGGTTGTTCAAACCCACCAGCTACTCCTCAGAAGGGAGACTGGTTGTTCTGGTTACCTAGTGGCACTCTGAAAAGAATATACCACAAATGGGATGGCCTTAACAAACAGGAGTTTATTCTCTTACAGTTTGGAGGCTTAAGTCCAAGTTCAAAGTGCCAGGCTCTAGGGGCTGTGTGAAAGCCCCTCAACCTTGGGCTTCAGCTCTGCCTCTTGCTCCCAGCCCACTGAAGCTAGAGGCATCTCTTCACTCAGGCAGCTAGTGACTGCTGAGGCTAACAAGCCCAAGGTTGACATAAAATGGCACAGTCCTGACGTTACCAACCACACAGCAGACCATTAATTCAAGTCCATTGTAAGTCCCAAGATCGGCAGAGCATGGCAGGCTACTGAACAATGACATGGCTACATGTAGGGTCCAAGCATCCCATAAGCTGGAGACCATTCCCAAAGCTGTTTTGTACATACGGGAAGCAGACCACATACCCAAAGTAGCTACTCAGCTGCTTGTGGTAGATACCACTATGGAGTTGATTGCCAGTCTCATCATGGGCAATAACTACCACCAGCTGCCCAGCCACTCAACCAGGCCCAGCCAAGTTGACACACACATTTAACCAGCAAAATTCCACCCCTTGTCAGCTTGGCACCTGTACACATCTTCAACAGATGGTATCTGTACAGATCTCCTCCACTGGGTGACTCCAGTCCCCTAGTTCCTGAGTGGTGACCTCACCCCCTTGGCCTGGTGGGCCCCGTTCCTCTCCCTCTTGGGCATGGCAGCCCTGCCCCCTCACTCTTAGGCAGCAGCTATGGCTCCATCCCACTGGCTCACATGAACAAGCAGCCCCACACTCCAGAACCAAGTTGGTGAAGGTCTGGCTCTTTGAAACCTAGGGGGCTGTGGTGGTTCCACCCCAAAAGGCCATGGTCCTACCCTTGAGGCTGAGGCAGCTCTGCTTCCTGTTTCTTTGGTCTCTCCGCTTCTACCAATTAATGCCCAAGGGCAACCCACTCCGCAGGAAATCTTCCTGCCCCAAAGGACATTTAGCTCTCATGATCCATGGGCTGGCCAACCTGCTACTCCATTTCATGCCAGTTTCTTGTACTAATTAATGCCCGAAGGCAACCCACTCCGCCAGGAAGCTGCCTGCACAGTGGCACCTGGCTTTCTTCTCCATGGGCTGGTAAACCTGTTACTGTTTAATGCCAGTCTCTGGGCTCTACTACTGTCATCTCTCATGCTGGTCTGTCAGCTCGGCTCCTGCTGTCTCTCATGCCATGTGCCGGGGTCTCTCTGCCAGGGTCTTGGGTCAAGGATGCACTCCACTCCTGTTTCCACATTTTAGGTGTCTGTTAGAGCAGCACCCCACTCTCGGTACCATATTCTGTTCTGGTTACCTAATGCCTCTCTGACAAGAATATAAACCACAAATGGGATGGCTTGAACAAACACAAGTTTATTCTCTTACAGGTTGGAGGCTTTGAGTCCAAGTTCAAAGTGCCAGGTTCTAGGGGCTGTGTGAAAGCCCCTCAACCTTGGGCTTCAACTCTGTCTCTTGCTCCCAGCCCACTGAAACCAGAGGCATCTCTTCACTCAGGCAGCTACTGGCTGCTGAGGACAACAAGCCCAAGGTTGACAGATAAAATGGCATGGTCCCAATGTTACCAAACCACACAGCAGGCCATTAATTCAAGTCCATTGTAAGTCCCAAGGTCAGCAGAGCATGGCAGGCTGCTGAACAACGACACAGCTACATGCAGGGTCCAAATGTGCCATAAGCTGGAGATCATTCCCAAACCTGGTTTTTATATATGGGAAGCAGACCACATACCCAAAGCAGCTACTTAGCTGCTTGTGGTAGATCCTACCTATGGAGTTGATTGTCAGTCTCATCATGGGTAATAACTACCACCAGATGCCCAGCCACTCAACCAGGTCCAGCCAAGTTCACACACACACTTAGCCACCACACTGGGCAACCTACTTCCATAGAAATACTGCCTCAGAAACCCAAGGAGTGGTCGCTATGAGTCAGAACCGACTTGATGGCAGTGACTTTGTTTTGTTTTGTTTTGTTTTTGGTTAAAGACACCTCAGAAGAAAGACCTGGAAATCTGCTTCCAAAAGGTCATAACCATGGAGTAAGGTTCTACTCTGAAACACATGGGGTCACCATAAGTTGGAAGTGACGTGATGGCAACTTGTAAGAGTGGGTTACCCGCTGAACTGTGTAAGTGTGTAGCCAGTGGATTTAAGTAGAATCATGACCCATTGAGACCTCCAGAGAGAGAGTGACCCCAGGCTTCTCCATCAGCTTGCTTCTAATGAGAAGTTTATGTGCTGGCTGATCTTGTTCCTACCTCTCCTCAGTGATGTTTGTATCTTGTACAAAAAAAAAGAGAAAGAATGAATGGATGAGAATGAATTGTCGGTGTCTTAGGCCCTGTATTTTTTTCGCACTGGGGATCTGGCACTCATGGGGTGGTTTACAGAGCAGTCAATACGTACTGAGGAGAATTTGATGTCTCCTGCTTTTGCTTAGCTGGCAGCCCGGATCCTAGAAGCCCACCAGAACGTGGCCCAGATGCCCCTGGTCGAAGCCAAGCTGCGATTCATCCAGGCATGGCAGTCTCTTCCTGAATTCGGGCTCACTTACTACCTTGTCAGGTGACTACCATGTTTGCTTGCCTCTCTCACATTCAGTAGGATTTTCAGTGATTTGCCTGGAGTAAACTTTATTCCTAGTCCAGAGCGAAGAACTCTTTTCACTGTAGAATGCTGCCCTTCCACAGATGCTCAAATATTTTTGGTTCCTCATAAAAGTCTTCCATTCCCTCTGTTCAGAGTGCTGGCACTCCTGAAAGTCAGTTAAATGTGAGAAGGGAAATTTTACATTTTTAAAAGAAGATTTGGCTCTTTTAGGATAACTACATTTGCAAAGCCAGAGGAAGGACATCACCTATTGATTTTATAAAATCTGTGACTCCCTGTCAGCTCAGAGAGTCATTTCCTGTTATGGATCACATATAGTCTCTTATGATGTGACTTTGCAGAATTTTTACGTTTCTAGACAACAAAGTCTTAATAACCCTGTGCCTTCTCTTTAGCCAGCCTTATCTGATAGAGACCCTATTCCCATTGGTCTCCAAATATTTCTAGGCCTTAAGGGCCCTTATGTAGCCCATCTAGTACCTCCACCTTCCATTTTATATACTGAGATATAGAAAAATACTCAATTTATATAAAATACTGAGATGCAGAAAAATAGCTTATGTGACTTGTCCAAAGTCACCTCCATACCAGGGTGAATTCAGCATCCTCATTAATAACCTCCAGTGAGCATGATGGCCCCACCCAGCCATATAAAACAAGTGGCTCCCCAAAGTATCTCCACAGCCATGCTTGTAAATCAAATTATATCTTTTTAATTCAATAAGGAAGATTAATGCTTAAGGAAAACCTATACTTAATCCTGCATTAAAGCAAGTACCTTTCCTCTCTTGCTCATTTTGCAACTCAGGGATTGAAAGATGAGTTTGTTTTAGAGTTAACTTGTGGGAAAACACAGTTTTCATGGTTATTTCAAAATACCTGGCTTCTCCTAGCCCTTCTAGTAGGGGAATCTATGCTGACTCTTCTATCCACTGGAAAATCTCACTTAATATCTGTCTCCAATGTTTGTCCCAAACAAGTCACTCTTTCTACTTTATTTCTCCCAAGAAAGAGTCAGAGAGGGTAAAGTTGTGCTGGACACTTGCCCATGTGTTCTTGCATACACACATACATACACTCAGCTATAACCCTGAAGTCAGCTCAGCACAGTGGAAAGGACATGGACTCTTGAGCCAACCAGGTCCAGCTTCCAGTCCCACCTCAGCTATTCACTAACTCTCTGATCTTGGACATTTTAATTAATCTCACATGCCTCTCCATTGTAGTCCCCTTTCTCTGTCCCTCTGTATGACACAACTCTTTGAAAACCTTGTATATACCCAGTGTTTATATCCACTTGTCTCCAATTCCTTTCTCTTATTCTTTTTTGAATGCATGCCAGTCAGGCTTTCTTCCTTAGTGTCCCCCAAAGCTGCTCTTGTCAAGGTCTCCCATGACCTTTACTTTGTTGAAGCCAGTGGTCAGTTACCAGTCCTCAACAGCATTTGGCACACTGAATCACCCCGTTCTCCTTGATATGTTTGCTTGGTTTCCAAGACAGCAGAATTTCCCAGTTTCCCTTCCCTCTAACTAGCCAGTTCTCTTGGCCTCCTTTGCTGGTTCTTTCCCTTCTTGCTATCCTCTTAATACAGAGTGCACAGACTTCAGTCCTTAAATAAGTCTTTTTCTCAATTTGTACTCACCCTTTTGAGGCTCAGCCATTCTTTTGGTTTCATTTATATGCTGATTACTTTGAGATGTATATCTTAAGTGTAGAAGTCTTGCTTGAACTACTCATTCATAAATCCTATCTATCACCTTCTCTTGGATGTCAAATGAGTATCTCGACTTAGCATTGTCCAAAACTTTAATCTCTCCCTTTAAATCCACTTCTCCCACATGCTTCTGTATCGCAATAAATGACAGCACCTCCTTCTAGATGTTTAGGTCAACTTCCTTGAGGTGATTCTCAACTCCTCTCTTCCTCTTATGTTTTGCATGCTACCCATCAGCAAATCCTACTGGCTCTACCTTCAAAATATACCCAGAGTCTGCCCACTTCTCACCATCTCCTCCTCCATCACCACTGTGGTCCAGACCACCATCATATCTCACCCGGATCCCTGTTAGAGTGATCCTACCTGGTCTGCTGCCTCCATTGCTGACTTCTAAGCTTTCAATTTGGCAGCCAGAGAAAGCCTATCAAAATATAAGCTAGATCATGTCACTCCTCTGCTCAAAACCATTCAAAGGCTTTCTCTCTTCCCTAGGGAAAAATTTAAATCTTTGAATAGGCTACAAGACCTTAGCCCTCTAGAGAACATAGAGAACCCATGTTCCTCTCCCTTCCTTTACTGTGTCCAGCCACAATGACCTTCTTGCAGGTCCTTGAGCACACACACACACACACACATGCCCTGGCCTTTACACTAATTGTTCCCTCTACCTGGAATACTCTGTCGTTCAATATCCATGTGGCTTTATCCCTTACCACCATCATCAGTTCCTTGATCAAACAAATGTCACCTCCTCACTGGTAAGACCTTCACTGAACTCTCTTTTAAAATTGCAACAACCTCTTCACCAGTATTCCCTCTCTCCCTTATCTGCTTTATTTTTCTTCATGACTGTATGCAGTTTATGTATTATTCATGGCAATCTACTTCCATAGTGATACTGCCTCGAAAACCCAAGGAGGGGGTCTCTATGAGTCAGATCTGACTTGATGGCCATGAGTTTGGTTTGGTTTATCCCCTTAATGTAAAAGCTCCATGAAGTCAAGAATTTTCTCAGTTTAAATTATTGTTGTATTCCAGTAACTAGAAGAGATACGTGGCACACAGTTGGTACTAATTTTTTATTCAAACTGATTTGACTCCCTCTTATTTTTGTTTTCTTCTGATGTGAATTTCACCTAAAGAATGTTTTCAAGGGTGCTCTAATCCTTTTCTTTCTTCATTGTCTCAAAATAAAAATGCCCTCCTATAAAAAGTTAGGAGCTCTGGTAGCATAGTGCCTAAGGCACTTGACTGCTAACCAGAAGGCTGGCGGTTCAAATCCACCAGCCACTCCTCGGAAGGAAGGTTGGGCAATCCTACTTCCATAGTGATACTGCCTCGGAAACCCAAGGAGGGGTCACTATGAGTCGGGGCCGACTCAATGGCAAATAACAACAACAACAATAAAAATTAAGCCCTCAATATTTATTCTTCTGAAATGCTTTAGAAATGTTAGTGTTATTTTTGAGAAGTTGCAGGTGAGTGAACATCATATTAAAAGAAAATTCTTTCTCTTAGTTAATATTATCATTTTTCCAGATTTAAAGGAAGCAAGAAAGATGATATCCTGGGAGTTTCGTATAATAGGTTGATTAGAATCGATGCAGCCACTGGGATTCCAATTACAACATGGAGATTCACAAATATGAAACAGTGGAATGTAAACTGGGAAATCCGTCAGGTAAAATGAAAGTGTTTGATATTCAGCATTGATTTGAGCATGTAAATATTCACTCTGAATTACCAGTTATTCTGATTTTAAAAGGGTGATTTAGAACTAACCAAAAAAAAAAAAAAAAACGCCCAAACCAAACTCACTGCCGTTAAGTCGATTTCGACTTACAGCAACCCCTCCTTGGGTTTCTGAGATGGTATTGCTATGGAACTGGATTGCCAATTTTCCTTCTGAGGAGTGGCTGGTGGGTTTGAACTGCCAAGCCTTCTGGTTAGCAGTCAAATGCCTTAGGCACTACACCACCAGAGCTCCAAGCATGTGGTAATTGTCTGGTAAAATAATCACACATAGCTCTGGGAAGTACCCTAACAAGCACAGGTCAAGTGCTTTTGAATTAACACAAGTTGGCTTAGTCTACATACAGACTCTCCATACAGATGCTAAAATTGCTAAACAGTTCACTTAGTTTTCTTCTACTCAGTATAAGATTATATAAGAATTAGGCTGATAATTACTTAGCAGCAACTACCTGACATGTTAACTGTTATACCTGAAAAAGGCCTTACAAGACTGGCTGCCTAACATTCTGATTGGTTGAGGACTCAAAGGCTCAATTACACACATGAAGAGCATTCCAATCTCACTTGCTTATTAGAGAAGCAAGCGAAGTGTGCAAGAAGGTCTGAGAAAAGCTCAGAATTTGGAAGACTTCAGTAGCTAGGCCTGTGTCACAGCCTCCCACTGTCTTCCACCTCAGGAAATAAATTCAGACCAAGAATGTCTCACATAAAATTCTAGGTGAAGGTAGTCATCTTACCATCTTCTTGATTTAAAATATTCTGATGTTGCAAATATAAAATATATTTTCCCTCATTCTTTGGGCTTTCTCATTTTTTCCAGCAGAAAACCATCCACATAAAATGACGGTTAGGATGACAGCACACTATTTTTAAGAATCCTGGATTCCTTTCTCAGAGGTGCTGTTAACCACTTGGAAACTCATTTGTAACATGAAGATCTCATATTAGATGACCTCTAAGCCGGTGGCTGGGAGCTCTGGTAGCCTAGTGCCTAGGGCACTTGACTGCTAACCAGAAGGCTGGTGGTTCAAACCTACCAGTCACTCCAGGGAAGGAATGTTGGGCAATCTACTTCCCTAGTGATACTGCCTCGGAAACCCAAGGAGGGGTCTCTGTGAGTTGGGTCTGACTCCCACAGCACATAACAACAAGCTGCTGGTTCAGAAACCTTAATGCATATTAGAATCACTTGCTTTAACAATCCCACTGCTGCAGGCCATATCCCAGACCAATTAAATCTGAATCTCTGATAGTAGGAGCCAAGCATCGGTAATTTTCCAAGTTCCGCAAGTGATTCCAGTGGGCAGCCAAGGCTGGGAATCAATGAAGTATCGATTTCTTCTATAGCTTAGAGTTTATGACTTTCAGCCAAGATGGAGTGAGGGGCAGTGGCTGTAGGAAAATTCAGATGGGCCTTTTACTCTCTGCTAAAGAGTCTGCAAAGCACCCTCCCCCTCAGCATAAGGAGTGCTTGGGAAGTTCTTACAGAGAGACACAAAGAGATTTCGAATGTGTGTTCAGAGTAGGCTGTTTTACCAAGTGTGTGGCAAAGTTAAACCACAAGAGGGCGCAGTGAGAACAGAGATGTGTTTTCTCCAAACGTTCAATGGAGGGCGTGGTTTTCTTCCTTCTTTCTCTAGAGACCATCTCTGCAGCTTTTTTCTCATCCTTCCTTGTCAGAGTATAATCTTGGCCTTCTTCTTCCAGGTGGCTATCGAGTTTGACCAAAATGTCTCCATTGCGTTCACCTGCTTGAGTGCAGATTGCAAGATTGTGCACGAGTACATCGGGGGCTACATTTTCTTGTCCACTCGCTCCAAGGACCAGAATGAAACGCTTGATGAGGATCTGTTCCACAAATTGACTGGTGGTCAGGAATGAAGTAAATTAGGCCTGCCGGCCTGCACAAACAGCAAGCAAAAGGTGCTCCTGCCTGGGAAGGAGGGACTCCTAGTTTGCACAGTGTATAGAATCCAGACTCATGGACAACATATATTCAGAGCTAGGCCCCACAACCCTCACCTCAGTGGAAACACACTGTTTAACATATCTCTTCCCTTACTTTGCTTTGTGCTATGAGTGGTGGAAGGGGCAGGACAGACAGTGGCATGCTAAGATTGCTTAAGAGTCCAGCATTTAGCTACAGTTCTGTGATTTGCAGAACCTGTTGAATACATGGCTAGAAGTTGCCCATGTGGAAAAGACAGAAAGAGGTAAATATCACATGTAGAAGGTACAAAATTTTATTCCACAAATTCAATGAAAAGAAATTGCTTTCATTAACTGAACTGCTTTTAGTTCCAATCCTGTCAAAATGGCAGAGGGAGTCGACATACACAGATTTTACCTGGGGAGATGTGGTTGCTTGGTACCAGTGGTCAACCAGGAGTCAGAGCAGCAGCCTTCCATGTCATCAGTCCAGGTGACATCTACCAAGGTGACTACTGGCCCTGAAGGCCTTTGGCTTTTATAAATCAAAGGCCGATAACAGACATTTTTCTTCCTCTGCTTTTTGCTATGTCATCCCTGCCTTGAGGCTATAAGCCTAGACCAATTAACAGCTATCTGAATTATTATTTTTTGTTTTGGTTTATTAGTGGTGGGAGGGCTCCATTTTGAGGAAGTAAAAAAAGAATACCAGAGTAAAAAGAGAACCTACAGATTGGGGGGAAAAAATACTTGGCAATGACATATCTGACAAGAGCTTATCTCTAACATTTATAGAAAATTTCAACATCAAAAAAACAAACAATCCACTCAAAAATGGGCCAAGGACATGAACAGACACTTTACCAAAGAGATACACAGGCAGTCAACAAACACTTGAAGAAATGCTGCGATCATTAGCCAGTAGAGAGATGCAAATCAAAACAACAATGAGATTATCATCTCACCTCAGCAATAATAGTAAAATTCAACAACATAGAAGAGAATCGATGCTGGCAAGGGTGTGAAGATATTGGAACTCTCATACACTGCTGGTGGGACTGTAAAATGGTAAAACCACCATAGACAACAGTATTGTTGTTGTTGTTATGTGCCGTCGAGTCCGACCCGACTCATAGTGACCCCTCCTTAGGTTTCTGAGGCAGTATCACTACGGAAGTAGATTGCCCAACCTTCCTTCTGAGGAGTGGCTGGTGGGTTTGAACCGCCAGCCTTCTGGTTAGCAGTCAAGTGCCTTAGGCACTATAAGCAGATGCTGTTACAAAATTTAACTCAGGGTAGAAAGAATGTGCGGTTAAGCCATTTGCGGTGACCAGTTCCTAGGGAGAGTATGAGGGCAAGTGGCCTTTTGGACCATCCATGCTTTCCAGCCTCAAGTCTATGATGGAAATGGGAGTCTTACGGATGGACGGTGGGTGAAGACCTGGAAGTCAGAGGCTAGAGATTGGTCTCCAGGACTTGTAGCAGACAAAGCACTAGCTATCATGACTTTCAGATTTTCTACATTTCTAACTTGTGGATCATGTATCTGGTGGCTCATGTAATAATTTTGGGAGGTACACATGATTTTAATAGGTATTTATTTTAATGTGTATTAGGAAAAAATAACCAGCACATCAAACTCATAATTCCAAGAATGTTATTAATTAGGATCAGACTAAGTAAAAGAAGTTAATTTAAATTAAATAAATTGTTGACTAAATAGTGATACAAAGTAGGGCAGAAATTGTAAAGGTGTTCTTCAATGACAGGTCTAGGAAGTACTGGTCTAGGTGAATGCCAAAGAAATGACAGGCTTTATTTAAAAAAGAAAGATGAGGCCTAACTATTTCTAGGATTTTTATAACATTTCAAATGCCTCAAATTCAAACAGCCAATATTCCTTATGCATAAAATATCAAATAGAAAGTAGAAAATGACTTGTTTTTTCCAGTTGGGCAGAATCTAAGTTTGAATACTTTTTCATTTAACTGACTCCGGCAACTTGAGTAAGTTATTAGCCTCAGGTTTATTTGCATATTTAGTGGGGCAATTAATTGTACATATAATAGCAATAATTACAACAGTATAGCACTTCCTTAAAAAATGAGAAATAGGAATACCTTTTGATCCAGTGATCCCACTACTAGGAATATATCCTAAAGAGATGAGATCTAGGATATGAATAGATATGCACACCCATGTTCATCGCAGCACTATTCACTATAGCAAAGAGATGGAAACAACCAAGGTGCCCATCAACAGGTGAATGGATAACCAAACTATGGTACATACACACAATGGAATACTACTGTGCAACATTAAGGAAGCTCTGGTGGCGTAGTACCTAAGGCATTTGACTGCTAACCAGAAGACTGGCAGTTCAAACACACCAGCCACTCCTCAGAAGAAAGGTTAGGCAATCTACTTCCATAGTGACACTGCCTCAGAAACCCAAGGAGGAGTCACTATGAGTTGGATCTGACATTGAAGAATAATGAAAAATCCACAAATCACCTCAGAATGTGGATGAAGTTGGAGGACATTATGCTAAATGAGTAAGTCAATCACAGAAGGACAAATATTGTATGAGTCCATTATTACAAAAAGTCAAGGACAAGTTTACATAAGGAAGGAAATTTTCTTTGTTGGGTACCAGGGAGTGGAGGGGAGGGGAGGGGAGGGAAAATAGATGGATAGTTAAAAGAGAGGTTTGATATGGGTGAAGGGAAAAGCAATATAACAAAAGCATGTGACCAGCACAATATCACTAAGGAAACGGAAGACACAAGAGAGGTGCATATTGGGGAGGAAGTGGGAGGGGAGCTGCTGCATTGTAAATTTTGGTCAATGACATGAGACAAAGTATATGTGAACTGCTGTATGAAAAGTGAATTTACTCTGTAAATCTTCACCCAAATCCTAATAAAAAAAAAAAAAAAGAGAGGTGCATAAGAGGCGCAGACAATAAAGGCAAATACTATTGCATACACAATATGGCATTATTAGTAGCAGCAAACACTGAAGAAAAAAACACAACAAAAATATGTATTCAGGTGTAGATATAATTTTCTTTCTTGCTAAGCACAATAAAGTATTTTTCCATATAAGGTGGGGTGGATTCCAAGGGTAGAGGGAAATATCAGGTAATATTATTCTGTTTTTATAAATGTTTTCCTGTCACACAAGGAACTTGGGTGGCGGGTATAATGCAAAGTTCTCTTAGGATTCACCCTGCACGTAGCCTGACCTGAGCCCAGAGGAGCATGTGTTTGCCTGCAAACATCAGCTGTTGCTTTATTTCCCAACAAAGTCATTTTGGAGGAGAGTCTTTTTTTCTTTTTTTTAACTGTGATTTGGGTGAACGTTTACAGAGCAAATTCATTTTGCATACAGCAGTCATACGCATTTTGTCTCATGACACTGACTGCAATTCTCCACAATATAACAGCTCTCTTCCCACTTCCTCCCCATAGTTACCTCTTCCCTATGTCTTTCTTTCCTATGCATGCTTGCCCCGATCAGTCTCCTTGTGCAAACACTGCCCTTGTGTTCTCCCATGATTGGTCGCTCCAAGGAGTGTATCCACCTGATGTAAATGTTCACCACATGTGCCTGTCTATTGTTTATCTAGAAGCTACAGGAGTGAGTTCAGTTCCAGACCTGAAGGGTAACTAGGGGTCATAGTCTCAGGGGTTTTACCAAGCTCTATCAGACCGGCAAACCTGGTCTTTTATATGATTTGGAGTTTTTTTCCATATTGTTCTCCCACTCTGTCCAGGATCTCTTGCACCAATTCCCCTCCAAGTGTTTGATAGTAGAAGCCAGGCAGCATCTGGTTCTTCTGGTCTCATGGTCATATAGGCTAAGGACTGCATGGTCTACCAGACCCTTGAACTAATTGTTTCCATGCATCTTTGGTTTTCTTCATTCTTCTTTGCTCTGGATGAAGAGAGACCCATCATTGAATCTAGATGGCTGCCACTTGCAAGCCTTTAAGACCCCAGTCACTACTCACCAATGTAGGATGTAGAACAATGTTTTGGTATAGTGTATTATGCCAATTGAGCTTGATGTCCCCTGTGACCATGGACCCAAGCCTACAGGTCCAACAACTTGCTCCATGAGGGTAGTTGACTGTGGCTAAGAAGTTATCATAACTTTGCCCATTTTTAGTTTTAGTTATATGGACATTCTTAAAGCACATACAAATATATATGTAGAAATATTATCTGCAACTTTATACATGATCATGGGTTTATTCCCTTTTGCCTGGACCTGATCATTCAGCCTATCCTCCCATCTATTTACCTGGGAAAAGATTCTTAATTCCTGTAGCTGCCTAGAAGCTAACATCTTTTTAGTCTCTCCTTAAGGTGAATGTTGGTGGAACCCCCCAAGCACTCACTGAACTCGTCACAAGATTTCCTGACATATCCTGTCCAAGCACCATCCAATGCCAAATTTAAAGCAAGAAAGTGGCTTTGGTACTTGGAAATCTAGATCACACCATAAAGAACTCAATTTGATCTGTTTTATAGGAAAAAAAATTAGTTGCCCTTGAGTTAGTTCAGACTCATGATGACCCCATCTATGTCAGAGTAGATTTGGGATCCATAGGGTTTTCAATGACTGGTTTCCAGGAAGTAGATCACCAGGCCTTCCTTCCAAGGCACTTCTGGGTAGACTCAAACCTACAACCTTTCAATTGGCAGCCACGCACGTTAACCATTTGCACCACTTACTGGAGAAACTCCTGCTAAGTGTGCTGTGGTAAACATGGTGTGGGTCATTTCTCTGTGGTCCAGGGCTCTATTATTTTAGAAGTTGGGTCTTTAAGATTATGTTGGCCCCTGCATTAAAGTAGTGCTCCTTGAGGTTGAATTGTACCTGCTTGCTGCCTAGTACAGCTCTGCTTTATTTACCAAAGCTAAACCTTCAGGTCAGCCTTTTTC